CTCTGTGAGGGTCCATGGGGGTCCTGACCACTGAAGAACAGGGTAAAAGTGGGCTAACAAAGTATCAGAGAAACAGATGGACTACAGTCTGTAACTGTAGAACTACAAAGTGCACCTATATAGTAAGTGGAGCTGATAAAATGGACAATGAGTGTAGAAACAAGGTAATGTTATGCCTGATCAGTGTATATATATATTTATATTTCAAAAGCTTCTTTTTAAATTATTGTAAAACAGTGTCACGAAGCCTATTTGTAACTATTTCGTGGAACAAATGTCTGTGAGGCTTTTAGAGGCATTAAACTCTTCAGACGTCTGGTTCTTCTCACCACCACTCTGACTTGATTCTCTCGAATGCAGCATTTCACATCAAACCACTCTTATGCAGAAATTTTGGAAAATCAGTGGAATTCCCCTTTAACTTCTCATAATTTACACTAAGAAACAGAGCCTGATTTGTTTAAATTCAGCATTTTTGAAGACTTATTTCAGAATCTTTGAAGGGCTATTCATGGTTTGTTGTTATTTAGTTCCATCAATATTGTTTACTGTTTGGCCTTTTTAGACAAAAACAAATGCCTTGATCATCAGAATGGTCTGTGTAATATTACTCACGCATGCGTTTGTGTGTGTTTGTGCGTGTAAAGACGCGTAAGGAGCGCGAGATGCAGCAGCAGATGTTGGTCCAGGACGAGGAGACGCTGGAGCTGAGAGAAACTTTCTCCTCCCTGCAGCAGGAAGTGGAGGCCAAGACTAAAAAACTAAAGAAGGTGAGAGCAGCACACGAACACCGTGAACAGCAACAGAATACTTTACATCACAGAAAGCAGCTTCACTTAATTTAGACCACGTGGAATCCTTTATTAATTTACTAAGTAAAAGTGAGGCAAACGGTTTCCCGTCTTCTTAAATAAAAACGACATTACATTTTACAGTGTAGACCAGGGACGGTGTTTTAAGCTGAGGACGCTGAAATTTTCAGCAGTATATATGCGATGTGATCACTGACTGATCATGCATAATTATTGCTTTTTTTGTCTTTTTAATTTTGTGTGTTAATTTATGTCAAACAGAGCGTGTGGTGACGTGTTGTGACGTGTCAAGAAACAATACAGCCCACATAAGTGACACATTAAACTGCTGATGCACACCCTGATTTCTCTGCTCTCTCCTTCTGGACAAACTTTCAGGCAAATGAGTTGAGTGACGTCCAGTCAGATTGCTGATATGTGGCGCAGTAACCAATTGTGTCACACCCACTGTCCCACATTCAAACACGCACCGGACATCATTACATTTCTAAGCTTATAGGCTGCTTTGTGGTTCAGAACTGGTTTACAGCTCTGCCCACTCGTTCCTTCTTGGCACCTCAGTAGGCCCTTTTCACATTTCCGCATTTTTTCTGCTGGAGGTTCTCGCTGCAGGTTAACGCTGCTCATGCTAAAGCAACGACAATGACAACAAAGATGAGTAGAGCGTGATGAGAACAGCTCACTCAAGTGTCCGAGTTTGAGGCAATAACAGCCTCATCCCAGTTTCAGTGCTTTGTCCGCTGATTATGAGCAGAGGAAAATGAGTTTGCGTGGTTAATAAAGGAATAAACTTTGTCATACGGAGTAAAAGAACCTCTGTGTCTGCATTTCACCGCTGCTAATGTTACACTGAATGCAGTTTGGGCTTTAAAGTTGCTGCTGCAGCCGCTTTCAGAGGAACAGTTTTCATTTTCTCCCTCAAAAGCTGTCAGCATCTGAGAGAGCGAGTGCCAGGCAGGGCGATGTTCGTTCACTGGCGCCGGTGTTTGTGTAAAACGTCTACAGTGATGCTACGGACCATGACGACCCGGCGCGCCCCCTGCTGGAACGTACGAGTGTTTAGCTTTTTGCCAACTAGTTTAATGTTACCAAGCTGCTTCAACATCTCCAGCTAACGTGGCTTATCTAGCATTTTGGTTATGGTTATTTTCAACATCCATCATTTTATCACTCTGTAGACGTCAGCTGACATTACTGTACTTTGATAGCTATGCAAGAATTTTTCCACAAAGCATTAAAATTTTGTTTATTTAGTTTGGACTCACATTCTTGTGTGTTTGGTTCTCCAGACATCAGTCTTGCCAATTATGACGAAGATAAAGTGAGTCACCTTTCTGTGATGAGCTGAAGTGATACGAACGGCTGTATTTCTGAGATTAATAATTGATTAATAGCGGAACTTCTGTTTCCAGTGAAAAGGGCCTGTGGATGTGCACCCCCACAGTGGCCAGCAGGGGGCGGGGGAAGCAGTTCGGCTCACTTTAAAGAATGTAAACAGTGCAGCTACTGCTGGTTTTGAAAATACATATTTATATAAAACATAAAAACACAAACTCCACTCTAAAACAAGCACGCAGAGGTCTTTACTTTGCTCAAATTAGGTTCAAGCTCAGACATTTTTTAATCATTTTTAGCAGTTGCAGTTTAACAACCCTCAGCACCCACACCTCCAGTGTCCCTGGTGTAGACAAGCTCACAGACACTCTGTCACTGCAGTGGAGCAGTAGGAGTGCAGCACGACAAGTTTGCAGATGGGCTGAATCTTTCATTTCTCTCCCACAGACAGGAGGACGTAGGCTACAGATATATAATATAAACCACAGCTGCCCATATGGAAAAAATATATCCCAAATGTATTTATCAAATATATTCTTGCAATGCGTGAAAATGGCCAAAAATGTATTTGTTAAATATATATTTAAAATGCATTTATTTTTTGTATTTGTTATTACATTTTTAAAATGTATGGTTTCTGTGTTCTGCATTGTACTTTGCAATAACCATTGTATGCAGTAAGACACACAAAATGTATTTCAGATAAACAAGATATCAAATCATAACTGCATTTTCACTGAGTATCAATACCTACAACACCTGCTTTTGTCATATTAAAGGTTTATTTGCTAATATTTAAAATTAAGATAATGGAAATCAAATTAATTTCAGAAGGTATCAAACTAAACAGTGCACTGGACAGGATATTTTCATACATTTTCAAATGTATTTTATAAAAACATTTACACATTTATTTTTATATGATGCATTTCTAGGTGTAATATTTCCCCATATATTTTAAAATAAATGTATTTTAAAATGTGTTTAGTTAATATGGTAAGATATTCTGAAATACATTTTAGTGTTTGGAATGTACTTTGGCTTGGACTGCAATGTATTTGACATATTTCAAATATATAAAAATATATGTCCATGTATTTTTTCCATATGGGTGAGTGTGGCTGCAAACGACTATTCTTTTCGTATAGATTTTCATTTCATACCTTCTAGCTGGAAATCAGTGAGTTTGTGAAGTTAGTTGACTGATACTGAAAGATAAATCCACTAAATGATGTTGAAAGTTTTCTTCCATGATGTCTGTACGAGTAGACTGTGAAATGAACTTGGGTTTGATGTTTATTGGTGTACAAAGGACAAAACTTATTAGGTTTGGATCCAAAAATCTCATTGATTTTTACAGTAAGTGGTCATTTTGGATGTGCCAAACAAAGCGGGTAAAAGTGGGTGGGCTTAGGCGCCACGCAGCGCCAGAGCAGCATGCACATCTTTTACTGTCCTGTTGTGGCTCCACAGCAGAATCAGATTTGTAGGTAATAATAAAATTATCCTCCTTTACAGTAAAATAAAGCTCTGCTGATCGTTCAACACAGTTTAACAATAAATGGTCTTAAACTCTGGAGTTAATGTAGAACTGCTGATTCACCCTTTAACTCTGAAGATCAGCGCAGACTGCTGGTCACCATAGCAACACAGACAATCTCACCTAGCTCGTAGCTAACGAAAAGACAAAGAGAGAGATTTAAGACGAACATCAATAATTTGCAGGCGAATGAACTTATTTACATTTATAATCACTCCAGCTGGTTTCCTGATACGTTTAATCTGCGAAGAGAAACTGACAAACACTAAAAAGTCCTGAAGTTGAAGTCAGTTTCTCATTCGCCAGCCTCTTGTTCAAATTGTCCCGTTCCACCTTAAATGGTGCGGCAGTTACATTCTGGCGCCTCAGCACCATTTAAGGTGGAACTGGAAAATTCAAACAAGAAGCTGCCGAACGAGAAGCGACTTCAGCCTCGTAAAAAGTCGAACGTTGAGAGACATTTTCCAAGAAACTGTTCTACTTTTGCAAAAAGTTTCCTGCTGGAGATGCGAGAAAAGCAGCAACAGCTGAGCTAAAACTTAAAGCAGAGCGAAGTAAGTCTGTGTTTTTATTTATATTATATTTTTAATCTTTTAATCTTTAATTATATTTAATTTTTAATAGCACATCAGCACATACTGAGACATGTTTACAGCGAAAATGGTAAAATGGACATAAAATGTTGTGGCTCCCAAAGTTTGGTTTGATTTTTGTTGAAAGGACAAAATGGCTCTTCTTAACATTTGGGTTGTGACCCCGGACACACTGGGCCCAATCATAGCGGCACCACTGAGTGGAAGAACTAGATTTCTCCTACATTGTACACACAACACACACGGTCCCTCCATGTTGTCAGTTTGTGTTCAGGTCCCTAACTCCTCTGTTCTTTACTCTGTTTGACCCCTGGATGTCACCCCTGACCCTGAGGACATCCCTCTTCCCTTTATCAGTATAAAAAGGTTTGTCCGTTTTACACTTCCTCCGTCACCGACTACGCCGCTGACGCTAATGCTAACGCTAGCACAACCACTAATGCTTCTCTGCTAACTGGCGAGTTTAGACTACGTCTAAAGTGAACTAGTTTGTATAGCTGGTTGGCCAAATTAACGTAGTGTTCGCTGCGTAAGTGGAAGCTGTTCTGTAATTTATCCCTTAGGCTAGGCTAAGGCTAACCTGCTAATCAGAACACTTCTGAAACCCACATCAGAGACATTATAAAGGAGGAGGAGGTTGAAAAGCAAATGGGGTTGCTTGTAATACTTAACACAGGGGCCCAATCCCATTTCTTGTTCTTACCCCTACCCCTTGTTTTCAAGTGTCATCCTAACCTCTTCAAACTGAGTTATAAGGGGTAGTGGTTGAAATCTTCCCTCTGAAATGGGACCCTCAAATAAAAAGAGCATCACTTCATTAACAGCTACTAGCGCTGCTCTGTAGGCGACCCTGCCAGTCTGCAGTGACAGCAGAGGGGGGTAAAGTTCAGCTCCTCACTGCTGGGCTTTAGTTACATTTAGGGAATCATATGCATATAAGACAATTATTAATTATTTTATATATTAATTATTTTATATATTAATAATTATATATTATTTATACTGAGACATTAGCATGCCATTAGCGATTTTTATGCTTGTTTCGAAGAAAACGACCATAATACATTGAAACGACACTAAACTATGATAATATAATGGTTATCGTAACTTTTTAACTGAGAAAATTCTCATATTTGTGGGTTTCTTTGGTCTCTTGTTCGCCATCTTGCCGGTTTTACTTTTCTCATATCACTCTGTTTGGAGTCTCTGAAAAACCTCTGTTTGGAGGGTCATGTAGCCCCGACACTTCACCCTGCCCCTCTATCTCAACAAGAATTGGGACACCCTACCCCTAGACGTGAACGCGCAAAACAGAGGGCTAAGGGCTGAGTGGTAGGGGCGAGGGGTGAAATGGGATCGGGCCAAAGTGTGTTTACAGGGAAAGGCCTGAATAAACACCTTTTTGCTGCATTATTTTATTGCACCAATTAAAAATACATAGTGCGCTGCTTGTTGAGGCGTTTTAGCCTGTTTAGCTTCCATTTAAGTGACATTTTGGATCCAACAGGGCCTGACAGTAATCAGGCCTGGGTGTGCCTGGTTTAATTGACCCTGGTTATCCAGTAAATTTGGCTCATTGGTTAATTAATGGGTCATTTTCTTTTCCCACTGGGCCAGTTAGTGTTGGCTAACATTTTGCATATGGATCATTTTTGGAAATGGATAATAAAAAAAAATATATTATTTTTTGAGATTTCTCAGGTCGTCTTTGTCTTATATTAAATTTAGTTTTAAAGGTCTGAAACAATTAAGTGTGACAAAAACAGAGGACGTCAGGGAGGGTGCAAATACTTTTTCACAGCACCGTAAGCACTACCCAAGATTAGCTCCGCCCACTTTACAGTGATAGAGGCTCAATACATCCGTCGTTTAGTGGGCATTGGAAAGCTATTCACAGGACGTGCCATGCATACATGAATTGCGCCCAATCAACTATCTAAACTCCGCCCACCAGCCCCGCACTACCTGTCTGACCATTACCCTCCATCCCTGCACCAGTCCAGAAACAGCCTTTCACTTCTCTGACCTCCACATCCGCCCTTGCTGACCTCTCTCTCCTCCCTAACCCCCACAGTGTGAACGGAGCGCTCTGATTGGCTGTGCTTCAGCTGGTTTTCATATGACGACACTGATTAGATCTCTCACCTGTCACTCACTGCATGAAGCTCCTGTCCTTGAAAAGGACAAATGAATGGAGTGATGGATGGGTAGATGGATGGATGGATGCATGGATGGATGAATGGATGGATGAATGGATAGATGGATAGATGAATGATGAAATGTAACGGAACATAAATGAATGAATGACTTAATTAAAGTAATGTTGACGAACAGATGAATGAATGTGTGTATGTGAATGTGTGAGGTCAGCTGGAGGGGGATATTGGGATAGTGGTTGCCCAGGAGACCATCTGTGATTGGCCCGATCCTACACAGGAACGGTCAACATTCCAATTTTGTTGCCGTGGGCAACAGAGCAGCAGATCAGACACAGCTTCCACAAACACGTCCACACATCACTGACCAAGACATCACTCTGTACATCTTTCTCTCTCTCTCTCTCTCTCTCTCTCTCTCTCTCTCTCTTTCTCTCTGTTATTTCTCTCTGTCTCTCTCCCCCTCCCTCCCCCTCTCTGCTCTCTATTTCTCTCTCTCTCTCACTGTCTCTTATTTTTCTGACCCCTGTCTCACTTGCTCTCCCTTTCTCTCTCTCCCTTTATCTCTCTGTCTCTTATTTTTCTCTCTCCCATCTCTCTCTCTCCATCCTTTTTATCCCTCTCTTTCTCTCTCTCTGTCTCTTATTTTTCTCTCTCCCATCTGTCTCTCTCCGTCCTTTTTATCCCTCTTTCTCTCTCTCTCTGTCTCTTTTATTTCTCTTTGTCTCTCTTTCATTTTTCTCCCTCTCTTATTTCTCTGTTATTTCTCTTCCTCTCTCTCTCCCTCTCTCATTTCTTTCTCTTATTTCTCTCTCTCTGTTACTTCTCTTCCTCTGTTATTTCTCTCTATCTCTCTCTCCCTTCCTCTCCTTTCTCTCTTTCTCTCTATCCTTCTCTTTCTCTCCCTCTCTCTTATTTTTCTCTCTGCCTCTCTTTCCTTTTCTCTTTCTCTTATTTCTCTCTCTCTCTGTTATTTCTCTCTCTCTCTCTCTCTCTCTCTCTCTCTCTCTCTCTCTCTCTCTCTCTCTCTCTCTCTGTCTGTAGCTGTATGCTAAGCTGCAGGCAGTGAAGGCGGAGATTCAGGACGTTAATGATGAGCACATTAGAACCAGACAGGAGCTGGAGCAGACGCAGAACGAGCTCACGAGAGAACTCAAGTTCAAGTGAGTACACACAGTGTTTCAGATGTAAACAGAGTGACTCAGAGTGGTTTGGTGTGAAATGGTTGAGATGTCTTTACAGTGGTAATGATAGGAACCAGGGGTTGCCATGACTACAACACAAATATATATATATATATATATATATATATACATATATATATAGACATGTTATTTACTATCCAGAACCACCAGTGAACCTACACGTGTAAAATCTGAAATCTAGAGCAGATCATTCCGCACCAAACCACTCTGAAGGACTTCCTTTACATGTTAACCATTTAATTACGCAGAAATGTTTTTAAATTGGTGGAGTTTCCCTTTAAAGGATCCTCTTTTTGGGAAAGAAGAGCCGCTCCTGCATATCCAGGCGCTGTAATCTGTGTATGTGTGCAGGTACCTGATCATAGAGAACTTCATTCCCCCGGAGGAGAAGAATAAGATCATGAACCGGCTGGTGTTTGATGCTGAGGAAGACCAGTGGAAGTTCCAGCCTCTCGTCCCCGCTGAGAAGTGAGTGACCTTTTGATCTCTGTATGACCTCAGATTAGAGATGGCCAGTTTTTCTGTATATATACCAATCAGCCATAACATTATGACCACCTCCTTGTTTCTACGCTCATTGTCCATTTTATCAGCTCCACTTACTATATAGGTGCACTTTGTAGTTCTACAGTTACAGACTGTAGTCCATCTGTTTCTCTGATACTTTGTTAGCCCCCTTTTACCCTGTTCTTCAGTGGTCAGGACCCCCATGGACCCTCGCAGAGCAGGTACTGTTTGGGTGGTGGATCATTCTCAGCACTGCAGTAACACTGACATGGTGGTGGTGTGTTAATGTGTGTTGCGCTGGTCTGAGTGGATCAGACACAGCAGTGATGCTGGAGTTTTTAAACACCTCAGTGTCACTGCTGGACTGAGAATAGTCCACCAACCAAAAACATCCAGTCAGCAGTGTCCTGTGGGCAGCGTCCTGTGACCACTGATGAAGGACTAGAGGATGACCAACACAAACTGTGCAGCAGCAGATGAGCTATCGTCTCTGACTTTACATCTACAAGGTGGACCGACAAGGTAGGAGTGTCTAATAGAGTGGACAGTGAGTGGACACAGTGTTTAAAAACTCCAGCAGCACTGCTGTGTCTGATCCACTCATACCAGCACAACACACACTAACACACCACCACCACGTAGTGCCTGCTCTGTGAGGGTCCATGGGGGTCCTGACCACTGAAGAACAGGGTAAAAGTGGGCTAACAAAGTATGCCGAGAAACAGATGGACTACAGTCTGTAACTGTAGAACTACAAAGTGCACCTATGAGATCGCGAGTTCGAGCCCTGGTGATGCTACAGCCGTCCGTAGCCGGGAGTCCGAGAGAGCACAATTGGCCTCGCTCTCTCTGGGTGGGTAGGATGGCCCCTCCTTCTCCCCCCATCACTCAGCGCGATGCTAGTCAGCACAGGCGTCTGTTAGCTGACGTAACAGATCTGGCGGTTGGCGCTTTCCTCCGAGCGCGTTCGGCTGTCCAATGACGTTGCGTGAGCGGCAGCTCGAAAAGAAGCGGTGGTTGGCTTCACAGGTCTCGGAGGAAGCCTGTGTTAGCCTTCACCCTCCTAGCGTTGATAGCATCGTGTGATTGGGGGAGTCCTAACTAGCGGGTGGAATTGGAGACGACTAAATTGGGGAGAAAATCGGGTAAAAATTAAAACAAAGTGCACCTATATAGTAAGTGGAGCTGATAAAATGGACAATGAGTGTAGAAACAAGGAGGTGGTCATAATGTTATGCCTGATCAGTGTAAATATCTATATTGATACTGATAATGATACTGATATTGATTCTGATCTTCATTATTGGCAGATACTGATCTGAAGTTTCTTCTTTAAAAACTTGAAAACTTTAAATTGAACTGTTTTAATTGAAAACTTCACTTCTGCTGATCATCTAAACACACAGTGAGAGTGGGGCTGTTTCAGGACAGATTTGTTACAGGACTGGATCACATTTACATATCGATACTGGTTTTAAGGAGCTAAAACTTCTGATAACCGATCGTATCATATTTCATATCATATACCAAATCATATTGTATACCTGTCATAACTGTATATTTACATTTTAATGTTGTACTCTGTAATAGTACAATTAGTTAGTTAATTAGTGCTTTAATGACTGATATGATTGTCGCTTCTTTAATTATTATAATTACTACAATTATTATAACTCACAGTCACAGCTAGTTTATAAAAGTTTATAAATCAATTTTAAGTTGATTGACATATTCAGTTAATAGTGCTTAATTAATAACAGCTGACCTATTGAATAGATTATATATAATATAATAATATAATAAAAATATATAATAAAAACAATTTGCTAAATTGGTTTCTGTGGTATATCATGTGGTTGCTATGGTGATTTAGCTGGTCTGCTAGGTTGTTGCTAAGTGGTTGATATGGTATTCCAGGTGGTTGCTTGGGCATTGCTAGATGGTTGTTCCATGGTTGCAAGGTTGTTGCCATGCCAGTAGGTGGTTGCTGATGGTTGCTAGGAAGTTGATAAGCGGTTGGTTGCTAGGGTATTGTTAGTGATTGCTGTGGTATTCCAGGTGGTTTCTAGTAGGGCTGAGAGATTTAACTTTTATATCGAAATTGCAATTTAACGGAGTGCAATTTTCAAATCGCAAGAACTGCATTTTATTATTGTAGCCTATACATTATCAAATCTGTCTTCAATTTTTAGTGGGAAAAAATAATAACATAGAGCTTCTGAACTGCCTGTAGATAAAACCAATCAGATCCAACCAAACCTCCATGTGTTATGACATCACAACCACAACTTACAGGCAGTCTGGCACGCTTCAACCCTCAAGTCTGAAAAGGTGAATATTCTGGTTTTCTCAGCCAAATAAAAAAAACCTTTATAGAAAATAATCGCAATTTAAATCGTTTTGCAATATCAGTCAGAAAAATTACAATTAGATATTTTCTGTAAATCGTTCAGCCCTAGTTGCTAGGGTGCTGCTAAGTGGTTGCTAGGGGTTTGCCTCAGGTTTCTGTGTTGCTGTGTGGTTGCCATGGTATTGGAGGTGAGTACTTAAGTGTTGTTAGATGATTACTATGGTATCTCATATGGTTGCTAAGGGGGGTTCCTAGGGTATTCCAGGTGGTTGCTAGGGTGTTGCTATGTTGTTGCCAGGGGTTTGCCTCGGGTTTCTGTGTTGCTGTGTGGTTGCTATAGTATTGGAGGTAAGTGCTTAGGTCAAAGGTGTTGGTCAAAGGCTTAGATGTTGTTAGGTGATTACTATGCCTATCTATCTCATGTGGTTGCTAGGGAGTTGCTATGGGTGTTATGTTTTCGCTAGGGGTTTGCCTCAGGTTTCTGTGTTGCTGTGTGGTTGCTATGGTATTGGAGGTGAGTGCTTAGGTGTTGTTAGGTGATGGCTATGGTATCTCATATGGTTGCTAGGGAGTTGCTATGGTATTCCAGGTGGTTGCTAGAGTGTTGCTAAGTTCTAGGGGTTTGCTTCAGCTTTCTGTGTTGCTATGTGGTTGCAGTGGTATTGGACGTGAGTGCTTAGGTGTTGTTAGGTGATTACTATGGTGTCTCTTTTGGTTGCTTGGGTATTCCAGGTGGTTGCTAGTATGTATGTGAATTTGTAAGCAATGTCTATGAGTGTCCATTGTGATGTCATTTGTGGCCGAGCTTTTCAAACATCCCTGCATTCATTTATACGGGAAAGAAAAAGTCATCCTTGGATGAACAGTGTATGAAACCAGTATGTCAGACATTTCCCAAAAGCACAAGTGCGCAATTTCTGTTTCATGGATTTAGTTTGAAAACTGTGGCCTGTGATAATAATAATAATAATGAGAAGAAGAAGAAGAAGAAAAAGAAGAGTTTGTTTTGTCAAGCGAATGTAATTATATAAATATATCATCGCAGCGCTGCTGTTTTGTGTTTTTGTTTATGAGAAATGCTGCAGGCTTCGTTTAAAGGCCTGAGTTCATAACGGAGCTGTGTGCCAATTAAACTGTAACAGAAAAGTCTGCTGTTATGTATGTTCCACACAACAACAGCTGCTTTTGTCTTGCTTTGGAGGGTTGCCAGATTTGTCCACTGCCGTGGTGACCGGCTCGGCCCTGTTCTTTTCCCCTGTTAAGAAGAATCACAGAAGCCGCATAAAGACAGTGACATTCAGTCACATGATCACACACCATGATACAGAGTATAAACCAGCACTGACAGCTTCAGTGCTGATATCAGATCCTCTGTGTGAGTGTAGACGGAGCTCAGAGAGAACAGAGGGGCATTCAGCAGGAAAACATGCACACACACACACACACACACACACACACACACACACTCATTTACACACACTACCTCCATTCTGCCTCTCTACCCCCATAACCCCACCCCCCCCCACACACACACAGAGTAATGCTGTTTTTATCATAAACTGGAGTTTGTGTTGTTTTTGTTAAAAGAATATTGGCCTCTTTTTTCCTCTCTTTTTCATCCTCTCTGTTTTCTTTCTCTCTCTCCATCTCTTTCTCTTTTTTTATCTCTCTCTCTTTCTCTTTTTCTCTGTCTCTTCCGACTCTACCGTATGTTCTCTCTCTTTTGCTCTCTTTCTCTTTTCTTTCCTTTCTCTCTGTCACCTTTCATTGTCTCTCTCTTTCCCTCTCCTTTCTTTCTTTCTTTCTCTCTCTCTCTCTCTCTCACTCTCTCTCTCTCCCTCTCTCAGTAAGTTCACTCAGATGAAGAAACGACCTGCCTCCGCAGTGGGCTACAAGCGACCAATCAGCCAGTTCGCCAGGGTTGCCATAGCGATGGGAGCCCACTCCAGATACAGGGTACGATTGTTTTGGAAAGCGAGAATGAGAGAGACTGAAAGAGGGAGAAGGACATAGTAAAAAAGTGTGAGAAAAAAGGGCAGAAAACGTAAGAGAAAAATGAAAAATGACAGAAATGTAAAGACGTTAGTCTCAGTGGAGGACAGAATAGAGCAGAGAGCCCTGAGCTATGTGTCACATTACCGTTTAGCCACATCACTGAGGATATGACATCTTAAGGGAGTTTGAGCTAACAGCAGGTGAAATGTAACACACTTTATGTAATTAAGCAGGTTCCAGTAGAACATGCTGGTAGTCACGTTCTCATGTTCTCATATCAGCGTCATCTGTTCATTTTAACAGCAAAGGCGTCTGTAATACGGCACTATTTAGAGTCAGGCTGAAGTACAGCCTCCACACGGCGGGGTTAGTTTAACACACTGTTAGAGCAGCGTTTTCCCACCAGACAGTGCAGTACAGCCACTAATCTCAACCCAGAACTACCCATATCCTGCTCAAGTACCTGTGCTTTCGAATACCTTTACTATTAGGTGAGCACCAGATACTTTTTGGCGAGCTCCAGGTATTATTTTGGCCACATGAACTAGTATCTGGTGTGTACCAAATAGTATCTGGTGCTCACCACACACTGTTAGGTGAACACCAGATACTTTTTGGTGAGCTCCAGGTATTATTTGGTGCACATGAACTAGTATCCGATGTGCAACAATTAGTATCTGGTGCTCACCGCACACTATTAGGTGAGCACCATATTCTTTTTTGGTGAGCCCCAGATTCCTTTTTTGAGCTCCAGGTACTATTTTGGAGCACATAAACTAGTATCTGATGCACACAAAATAGTATATAGTATATTTTTTTTGTTAGTACTGGGTACTTTTTTGGTGAGCACCAGATATTATTTGGTGAGCACCAGGTACTATTTGGGGCACATGAACTAGTATCTGATGGGTACCAAATAATATCTGGTGATCACCACGCACTATTAGGTGAGCACCATATACTTTTTTGGTGAGCATCAGATGCTTTTTGGTGAGCACCAGGTACTATTTGGTGCCCACCACGTAGTATCTGGTGCTCACCTAATAGTGTGTGGTGGGAACCTGATAATATCTGGTGCTTACCAGACCCGTACCTAAAAAAAATTCACCCTGTGAAAATGTCAGTTTACTCACTTTTGGCAAGAATTGAGTTGATGCAGTATATTTTTGTTCATGTGAACCTGATTAATGCATTTAAATCAAGTAAAGTCACTGCACTTTTTTCACAACCTCAATATATCCTACTATATAACACCTGCTATAAACATACATAGTGTTATAAAGTTTTATATTAGTGTATATTATCTGCTGTCAGTGGTGAAATGCTGTGGCTCAGCTGTGGTGGGAGTTTGTGTGAAATGACCTCCACTGATGTTTGCTATGGGTTTTGTCCCTGACCGCAGGCTGAGAACATCATGATTTTGGAGCTGGACATGACTCCGCCCACCCTGTTTCAAATGGACTTCCCAAAGGCAAACTCAGAGGCGGAGCCAAGCCGAGACGTGCTATTGGACAATGCTTCATACAGAGAGAAAACAGCGGCCAACCGGGTCAGGAAATCTCGGTCATGGTCAGTATGGCATTAGTTATGAGGCTGCACTGAAATGCTTTAGGATAATGTCAGAGGGGTTATAATTAGCTTATTAAAATAAATGGAAAAACTCTGTTAAAAGTGGATTTAAACGTCATTTTTTTCCTTTGAAACAACAGAAAAACATCAGTACAGAATCTTAAGGTAATTCATTATGTAACCTGTTTAGTCCCATTTAAATATTAAATAAATTGAATATAGCAAAACAACAATAACTCTAGACATATAAGATTTAGGACTAGTCTTTATTTTATCCTGTTCCAGCTCTCAACAGCACTCGATTAGTGTTTTGGGAGGATTGTCATATAAATAAAAGATATTTAAATTTGATCATGCTGATATTTGCTGTCAAAAATATCTCTTACCAGAGACCACAGCCTCTTCACTAATCATATTTAAGTGTTTTTTAGGTTGGAAAGCTCATCTGGTTCAAATAGCAGAGAATTGTACTGAATTAACTGGGTTTGCATCATTCTACATAATTTTACCCTTCAGTCTGTTACAGGGGTCGGCAACATACGGCTCTGGAGCCTCATGCGGCTCTTTTACTGCCCTGTTGTGGCTCCACAGCAGAATCAGATTTGTAGGTAAAAATAAAATAATCCTCCTTTACAGTAAAATAAAGCTCTGCTGATCGTTCAACACAGTTTAACAATAAATGGTCTTAAACTCTGGAGTTAATGTAGAACTGCTAATTCACCCTTTAACCCTGAAGATCAGCGCAGACCGCTGGTCACCACAGCAACACAGGCAACAGTCTCGAATGAACTTATTTACGTTTATAATCACTCCAGCTGGTTTCCTGATACGTTTAATCTGCAACGAGAAACTGTCAAACACTAAAAAGTCGCGTCAGCCTGTTATTCGCCAGCTTCTTGTTCAGATTTTTCCGTTCCACCTTAAATGGTGCAGCAGTTACATTCTGGCGCCTCAGGCACCATTTAAGGTGGAACGGGAAAATCCAAACAGGAAGCTGGCGAATGTGAAGCGACTTCAGCCTCGTAAAAAGTCGACCATTGAGAGACATTTTCCAAGAAACTGTTCTACTTTTGTGTAAAGTTTCCTGCCAGAGATGCGAGAAAAGTGGCTATAGCTGAGCTAAAGCTTAAAGCAGAGCAACGTAAGTCTGCATTTTTGTTTATATCGTATTTTTTAGCCTATACTAGCACATCAGCACATACTGAGACACATTCACAGCCAAGATGGTAAAATGTTACTTCAATAAAATGGACATGAAATGTCGTGGCTCCCAAAGTGGATTGATTTTTGTTAAAACGGGACAAAATTGTCCTTCCTAACAATTGGGTTGCCGACCCCTGGTCTATTACAATAAGCCTGCCCATGAGGTTATAGTTATAGTTATATCCTTTGCACAAATGCTAGGTTCTATAGTGTAGATTGGTTGCTTGTATTAAAAGTGATTAATCTTTTAAAAAATAAATAAAGCAAAACCCAAAATGTTAGGTTGTGACCCACTGTTCCCTTCTACTAACTAACTGATTTTATTGTTCATATTTTACTATATAACTACGATCATATTACTGTAGTGTTCTAAATTAGTGCCTATCTACTGCTGATAATAGGACTAAGTTCCCATGAGCACTCGATTACCTGACTAAGGTGTGTTGGGAGTTGGAATAGGGACAAAAATGTGGACTGGCTGAATATGAACATCTGGTTCATGCTATGCAGTGAAGGCCAAGCCCGGGTAAAAACACATGAGGAGTGCAGATTAACTGGATTGAATTAGGATTATTGTTGAGGTGTGTGATGCGTACTGTAATCTGGGATTAGCGGTGTGTTGGGATTAGACACAGAGAGGCAAAATCTTTCCTAAGCGTATGATTAGGTTAATCATTTTGTCTCGTTCAGTTTCTGCAGAGCCCTTTAGTGTGAGTGGTCATCATATATGGGTCATATAGGTCACTGTGTCACTGGGTGAAAGAATTAAAAGGGGAATTCCACTGAGGTGTAAATAAGCATATATTAGTATAATTCAGTGGTTTAAATGTAAACAGAGTGATTCAGAGTGGTTTGGTGTGAAATGATTCAGATTTCTTTACAGTGGTGGTGATAGGAACCAGGGGTCGCCATGACTACAGCATAAATATAGCCATTTTATTTACTATCCAAAACCACCAGTGATCTTTTGCACCCCTCCCTCGTCTGGTTCCTATCACCACCACAGTGAACAATTCTGACTCCACTTTGTTTTATGACTTACGACCATTTAATTGTGCAAAAACTTTGGTGGAATTCCCCTTCAAACAAATAATTTAGTGGAAAAAATATCAGATTTAAGTCCAATTTAGACAGTTGTTCTCATTTATAATGAGGCTCATTTATAATGTTTGCATATCTATAAAAATGGACAAACCTATGGACAGAATTTAGGCTTAGGCTTTTACTACTGTTTTTAGCCATGCAACATAATTTTGCCCATTTCTGCTAATTGGTGGGATATAGGCTGTCTTTACTTGTTAGCTACATTAGCTTTGTAGCTCCTGTGCGAAACTAATGGTCCAAATTTCACACACCGCTGCCACTTTTAGGCACCTCACAGTTACAGCACTGACCTCAAAACACAAGGAGTCCATCTTGAATGATGATTTCAGAAACATGCGTATGACAAAAGTGTTTGGACGGACCTTTTAGTGAGTGAATACAGATACTTTACGTATGTGATCCAGAACTGATCATCCAGCATCAGTGCCTGACCGCACTAATGCACTCATGGCTGAATGCAATCAAATCCTCACAGCAATGTTCCAACATCTGTTGTAAAGCTTTATTAAATCCCTATTAATGCCTTTAATTTCCAAAGGTACTGGATGAAGCTCCATCACTCTGGAGAACTCACTTCCTCTGCTCCAGAGCCCAATGCTGGGGGGCTTTTTGCTCCTCTAGCCCACACTGGGCACTGGGCTTGGTGACCTTAGGCTCATGTGCGGCTGCCCCAGACTGTCCCACACTATTGGTCAATGTGGCGATTATACAAGCTGTGCACCATCATCATATTTGGACTTGTACTGTATCTTATGTTGATGATGTCACTCTCTGTTATATGTGTGTAGGTGCCAAGCTCCGCGGCCCATTTCCACCTCAAGCTCCGCCCTTTCTCTGGCATCCTCAGGGTCCAACAGCCTGCCACACCCCCACAGCGCCGCCACAGCAACAGCCCAACAATGAGACTCCAGGGACCTGCACTCGTCGGATGAGCGAGGGTCAGTCGTCCCGCCCCCTTTTTTTTTTGCAAAATAAAACAGAATATTGGCGGAAAGGTTCACTCCGTTGACCCGGTCAGGAGAGGACAAACCCTTCAGCCTGTTCTCCTCTGCTTCAAAACACTAGGACAAGGAGCGCTCTAGGACTAATTTAAGTACCACACCCTTCATTTTCATCTCTTTTCTCTCGCTCTTTTCATTTCGGTCATGACCCTGCTGGGCTCCGAATACCTGCCGTAGATGGATCGGTCATCATCGATTCATCCCTGCCTCTTCCAACATCAGGGGTCAGTTTAATTTAATTTAAGTTTTCTTTGCTGCCTTTTTTTTAAAGCTTGACTACTGGACAACCTCAATATGTTTACTACTGATGTGCTGGAAAAAAAGAAAACACTGTAGGTCCTATCAGTGGTTTTCAGCTGGAAAACTGAAAAGATCCTAGGAAATAATTCCGTAAGCACCCCGGTAAGGATGGACAATCTTCTTCTCTGGACAAACACTGAAGAGGGTTTCACCGGAACCGAAGCGAACAGAGCTCTGCGACTGGCTGGCTGAATCCCCGCCCGCCGCTCACTCCTCTGTGTGATCTACTGTAAAGAAAAGAGCGTTAAACGAGAGACGGAGGGACGGCGGACGAGTGCCGAAGCCGTTCTCTCGTTCTCGAAGCTCTGCCTGCATGTTTTACTGTGTGTATGTGTCCTAGTGATTCGGTTCAGGGTGGTGGAACGGGGTCTGGATTCCAGTCGGCTGGATTTGTGTTCTCGAAGTTCTACAGTGAAGGGTTCTAGAATAAGAGTTCTAGAATGGCCAGTGGTGAGGGTGTGGTCTATGCGTAGAATTAAAACAGATAGAATAGTGGAGCGCAGTTGTCCGCCAGTTGACCTGTCCGTGCTCCGCCTATAACATGTTGCTAAGTTGGATATGCTTTACGGAAAAAAAATCCTCTCCAATCTAATGATAAATATTCAAAATATATGAATTATTCACCGCTGTTTGTTTCTTGTGATTACATAATGTCTAGTTTCCAGTTTGAAACGCTACTGACTTTGTTGTGGCTAATCAAAAGTAGGCAGGCTAGCCACAACAACATCGAATGTGACACCATGCTAACGTTAGCTAGATTACGCAACAAAAACAACAGTGCTGCCACAGTAAAGAGTCTCTAGAGTGAGATTTTCCAGTTAAAAGCCTTGGAAAATCCCCTTCTGATGATGTATTTTGGAAATAGGAGGAACTTCTGGAAAAACTACAGCTGCTTCACAGGAGGCCGAATGCTAACGCTAAGCTAATGCTGCTAGGAAACAGAACGTCTTACTGCAGCTGCATAATTGTAGGGCCAGTGTCCAAAACAGCACTACAGCGGAGAGTATCCATTACTTAAACGACAGAAATGACCCGTCAGACGAGGAGAACAAGCCGAAAGCTAAATTAGCTACCTGGCTATCTAGTTTACCTCAGTTTGGCTTCTTTTCTCAGGCCAAACAACGTTGTGCTGAATAACGCTACAACGACAAAGGCAAGAGTTACGCTAAGGCTAGCTCGGTTGTATTTATCAGCTTATACATCAGTGGCTAGGCTAGCAGTCAGGTTATGTGACTGGGTATTGTTAGTGAAGGAACATTGATGAACTGGAAGTCGAGAAAATCGTGAAAATTGAGGATTCTGTCGATTTGTTGAGGCTGAGGGTTTAACGCTAGGCTACATACGCCTACATAACACGACAAATAACATACTATAGTACAATTTCTCATTAGGTTGAGTGAGATTTTTGCCAAGCTTTCCTTAAAGCTTTAAAAGCTGTTAAAAGTGAAATTTGCCACAGCAGAAGGCAGTGGTGGCCGGAGAACTGGATGGGTCAGTTTGTGAACAATTAGCCACGAAACAATGCAAGCATCTACTATGCAGTCAGAAAAGGTGAACTGAATTGCTGATGTGAAAAGAAGACGATGTTTTTGTTGATCCCAGTAAGAAATTACTGCCATGCGTCAAACATCTGTCTTCATGAAGCATTAACATCCCAGTTAGCCTGCTTAGCCATTATGTTAGCCAGGCTGCTAATGCAGTTACTGGAGTTGCAGTGAGGGATTTTACATTGATGCTCCGAAATTGTGGACAAATGGCTCCCTAAATGTTGTCCTAAAGGTAAAATCCACCGTTTTTGTTTTTTTTTGTTTTTTGTTTTTTCAGAAGTTCCTCGTAATTTAATCGTTAAGATGTAAACAGAGAAATTCAGAGTGGTCTGATATGAAAAGCTCCGTTTAAGAAAACCTTGCCGACTCATTTTTTACAGTGGTGGTGATAGGAACCAGACGTCTGAAGTGTTGAATGCCTCTGTAAGCTCCCTCACAGAAAGTTAGCACATGAGATGATGGTGAATGTCTAGAACATTGCTTTACGATAGTTTTGCAATAAGGTATTGACTTAAAATATATTTTTTTATACATATTTATGATGGACAGGTGCATGCAGGGCGCTGAGAGGCAAAAAAGGCCTCCATTTTTTTTTTCCATTTTACTACGATCAACATTGCATAGACAAATTCAGAGGACGTGTAGGTTTTGGATAGAAAATAAACGGATGCATTTGTGGTGAAGACATGGCAACCCCTGGTTCCCATCACCACCACTGTAAAGAAATCTGAGTCAGTAAGTTCCTCTACGCTCTTAAAAAAAGGTGGTTCACAGGTTCAAGGGTTCTTTAGAAAAGGGAATGGTTCTATTTAGAACCATGAGTTCTATATAGAACCATTTACCTGCTTAAAGGGTTCTTAGTATCATGAAGTGGTTCTTTAGACTGATGGAGAATGTGCTGTAAATGGTTCTATATTCATTTTCTTTGAAAAGGGTTCTATACAGCACCAAAAAAGAGTTCTCCTATTGTCACAATGTCAAGCTTGTAACAATAGAAGAACCCTTTTGGTGCTGTATAGAACCCTTTTCATAGAGGTTCTATATAGAACTGTATAAAGCACATTCTGCATCAATCTGGAGAACCATTTCATGATACAGGGAACCCTTCAAGCATGCAGATGGTTCTTTGATTGTTCATGGTTCTTTATAGAACCACTGCCTTTACTAAAGAACCATCTTTTTTAAGAGTGTACAGAGAACCATTTCACATCAAACCACTCTAAATGACTGTGTTTACATCTCAACCACTGAATTATTACGGAAAATTACTGATGTTCCACTTTAAGTGCTTCGGTTTCTAGACTTTCAGGACTCCGGTCAAGATTGTAGAAATGTGTAGGAGGATGTGTTCTACCCTTTTTAATTCTGTGGTTCTATGTAGGTTGCAGCTCCGCTTAGACCTTTAAATTGCTGCTCAAATTCAAAGCAATGAGCCTGATACCATAAGACAACATAGAACAGACTACAGATCAACATACACATGATCACATGATCACATGATCACATGTGACTGCTGTACACATACAGACACACTTGAGCTTTGCTTTGACCCACCTAATTAAAATAGCCATACGCTCCAGCCGACAGCCGCCTCCCTGACTGTAACCGTATAGATAGACGACGTTTCGTTCTGCATAAGGACTGTGAATATTTGCGTGTGTTTAAATTGTGTGTTATTGGCTAAAAGACTGTAAGATATCTCTGAATTACTGAATTAAAGGAAGAGCTCGCTGTTGAAAATGGAGGAAATCTCGTCTGTGAAGCTGGTTTTGTGTGTCCAGTGTCGGTTCTGCGTCCTTTTGCTCTTTAATCACATTCATGAGGGCAAAAATGGACCAGAAACTGGTCCTGTGTCATTTCTCTTCCTCTCTGGAATCTGATATAGCACACATTCTCAGAAATAAAGGTACTAAACTCTCACTGGGGCAGTGCCCCTTTTGTCACTGGGGTGGGACCCTCAAGGGTACACCTCAGTACCTTTAGTCAGGGAACATAACTGAACCATAATCCACTGAAATGATATGTTCTAAGCTGTACTGACTCCACACACCCCGTCTCGTCTCCAGGCTTTTATTTTACTGTTCTGTTTTAAATCATTCGGTTATGAAAAGGTACAAATATGAACTTTTCACCTGGAGAAACTTATTTAAGGTTCACAATCAGACCTTAAAACCACTGTAGTACCTTTGAGGGAACATTTACACTGTTTGTACCTTGATGAACGAAAAATGTACCTGAACAGAACCTTTATTTCTAACAGTGTACAGAAATGCTGTTCTGAGTTCTGCACACTCTTTAAAAGGTAATTCTTCAAGGGTACTTTAATAAAGTCATTGGCTCTTTATAGAACCATGAACCCCCAAAGAACTCTTGCATGATTAAAGGGTTCTTTGCATCGTTAAATGGTTACTCACATTGATGGAAATTGTGTTGTAGATGGTTCTTTATCGAACCTTTTTGAAAAGGGTTCTATATAGCACCCAGAACAGTGCCAATGTCAAACCTGTAACAACAGAAGAGCCCTTTTTGGTGTTTTATAGAACCTCTTTCAACAAGGTTCTATATAGAACCATATAAAACTTATTCTCCATTAATCTGAAGAACTCTTTCACCATGCAAAGAACCCATTAATTACACAAAGGGTTATATATAGAACCATTTTTTTTTTACTAAAGAACCCTTGAAGAACCACCTTTATAATAAAATAAAAATACTACTTCTACTACTACTAGTAGGAATAATATTCATAATAATAATAATAATAAAATTCATAATTATTGACTAAAATGCACTTTAGTGAGTGTAAAAATTACACTTACTTTTGTTTATTTTTCTTAAACCAGCCCGCCTTGAAGACCAGCTGGCTAGTGCCCCACTCCCCCCAGTGATGATGTACTGACTGGGCCATTGGGGCCAGTGCCCAGGGGTCTCTGACTGCCAGGGCCCTCGGACCACAAGGGCTGAGGTGGCTCAAAGACTGCAGACCCGTCCACATGTAGTAACAAAATGCTTGAAGATCCCTCCACCTGTACCCTGCCACCTGGAGAGCCGGGGATCTCTAAAGACACTCATGCCCAGGGGCCTAGTGAGACCATGACCCATCCTTGGCAGCCCCTGGTTACAATTTGAGACCCCTAAACTTGAGAGCAAATTTGATGGATCTGCAGGCCTGGTCTTTTCCTGCACACAGACACTCTGATTGTCTCTCAGTCTCGTATTTGCAGGCATAGACGTATTTAACCCTCTTAATTTATTTTTTCGGACCCGATTATTAAATTCAAAAACATAAAAAAATAAATAAATATGAAGATGTGTGCTGGGGTCCTTTTGGAGTATGTTGTCTTGAGGCAACATTGTGTGACAATAAGAAGAAATTATATTAAGTTGTGTTCCCTGAAGTGGTGAGATCTGGCTTGTGGCTGGCTAAATCCATTCCACTGTTGCACAATGTTGCTTCTAGGCAACAAACATATTTCTGCAAATTCTCATAACAAAAAAAAAAGATACTGAACATTAAAAAAAGAGGTTTAAGGCTACGTTCACATTACAAGCCTCATTGCTCAAATCCGATTTTTTGCTCAACTCCAATCTCTCTGACTCGATGGTTCACACTCGTTGAGGTAAGTGACTCAAATCTGTCATTAATGTGACGAACCGGCGTCCTGAAATGACCCTCATGAGCACATCCTACTCAGTAACGTCACGTGAATGAATCACGTTCATCATCAGCACAAACTAACGAGCAGAACGAGCTTCACTGTGAAGATAATTAACTCTGATCAGCTCTCAGCTTCATTATTAGAGCGAGACGAAGGAGAAAAAGGTGAGATGAGCTGCTTTTCCATCATTTACAGGCTTTAACTTCGGCGCTGCTGCCATGGTAACGCTGAATGATGGTGCACAAGCAGCGGAAAAACAGCACATGAATTCTGATCTGAGCGTCACATTAAGGTCGCATGGCCACAAATCGGATCCGATCTAGGACCAGATATGAAAGTGGCTCAGGCTGGATTAGAAAAGATCAGATTTGTGTCCACACAGCTCTAAAAACATCAGATCTGAGTCATTGGGGCAAAAAATCGGATTTGTGCCACTTCAGCCTGGTAATGTGAACGTAGCCTAAATGTGCCCACTAAGAGACAGCATGACTGAGCACATGCTTTTTATTGACTTCCTCAAACTCTTTCCTTTATTGTTCACCCTTTCGTTGTCTTTAAATATGTATAACGTTTTTGTAAAGTGAGGAAAATGAGTTTGTTGCCCTGAGGCAACATCGTGCAATAGAGGGTTAAGGTTTTACCCTTCGGCCAATGAAATGGATATGTGATTGGTTCTCTTCCAAGGACACGACTAATACCGCTGATCCTGCTGTAAATGATGTGGCTTCGGAAAAGAAGCCCTGGCAGCAACGCTGCTCCTCGTTTTCCACCGTCTGCCTGTTCACTGCACGAGCTGATGAAGTAAACTGTCAGACTGATGAATGCTAACTGTAAAGTGGCGCATTCAGAGAGGCTACAAGGCCGTCATTTACTGCAGCTAGATACACTGAAGTCCCTCTTTTATTTAATTGTTTCCTCATAAAGTCATTTTACATTAAGTCTACTGTCCACTAAAGGTCACTGGTAAAAAAAAATGGACAGAAGTGTGCAGCGTAGCTGAGAACAGTAGCAGCCATGATGAAGCCTAAATTTCATAATCAAGTCTTAAAGGGACCCGCCGACCAAACATGTGTAACCCTTGATGTGTTTGTTACTCAGAGGTCTGCTGGACCCACCGCATTATTGTTTATTAAATCAATACAGCCATAACAATTTATGTAAAAATACCAGATGTTTGAAAAATCACAAGTGTCCAGTGTAGGGTTCTCCTTTAGCAGCTGTAGCCAGTCAGCAGCCTGTCCATGTTGTCCACCCTCACACAGACACACACACACTAACAGCAGGCCATGTAGGAGGAGAACAGAGTGAAGGACACAGCACCTCCACACTTTTACTCCCTGTGGGTTCAGCCCAACACCACATGTGTAGTATAAATGTGTGGGGGGGTGTACACACATACACACGTACACACATAGTCACAATAACTTCATAGCAATACCCTAGCAACCATCTAAGATATCATAGCAACCACCTAGTAACAACTTGGCAACCACTTGGAACAACATAGCAACTGCCTAATCACACCCTAGCAACCACCTGAAACACTATAGCAAGTACATAGGGTTCTTTATTTAGATAGCCTCCTGTAAATTATCTATACGTGTTCAAATTACTAATAAACTATCTGATGAAACTCAAGGACTCAAACTCAAACAGAGTTAGGGTTAGGATTAGGATTAGGTTTAGGCTTTGGATTGAGTGTTAGGGTTTGGGAAGATTAAGGCTAATTTACTAGATATTTAGTTGAATGTTAGTTACATGCAAGGCTTTACAAAAGATACAGTGGACTATCCAAATAAAGTGTACTCACCTAGTACCAGCTTAGCAACCGCCTTGCATACCTTAGCAACAACGTAGCAACCACTTCTGAATTGATTAAAATTGCGCAGCAACCACGTAGCAACAAATTGCTTAAGATGCATGCAATTTTCTTCAGAGTGTAAAGTGGTGCTATAAATGGTGCTATATAGAACCATGAGTACTCAAAGAACCCTCTGCATGGTTAAATGGTTCTCAACATGGTGAAATCGTTCTTCATATTGATTGAGAAAATGTTGCATTTGGTTCTATATGGCACCAAAACGTTTTCCACTACTGTTACGATGTCAAGCCTGCACCAATAAC